TAAAACTGTCTCCAGTGGGTGACACTCTTGTACGCAGGTGTGTGTGTGCTAGATTTAGGGCTAGAATTTTCTGTTGCTAGAAATTATGGAATATAAGAGAAGGAATTAAGCAGTATATGGTTCAGGAGGAACTTATGGAGTCTCCGCTTACTTAAAAATATTATGATAGGAGTAATGAAGTATAAAAAGCAGAGATAACATCTCAAAATTTTTTCTCCCAAGGAAAGCAAGGAAATCCAGCAGGACATACATAGATCTGGCATTTATTAGTGATGCCTACTTGTCTCTTTATTTCTGATGGCTGCTGGTGCTCACAGGGCAGGGACTCAGGTGTACAGGAAATGTGATTGTGAAGAGCGCAGTAAAAAGGTGAGATGATCACAGATTACGTTATCCAACCACGGCAACATTATTCCATTGTGAATAAGCAAACTGGTATTTCACTTCCTTGTGGTAAACTGTACTGTGCTGTGTCACGATCTAAAATCAAGTTTCTGTTCTACATGTTTTAGTCATGCTGCAGAAAAATCACCTTTGCCTAAGAACAGAATTCATATATGGTTTTCCTCCAGTTCTGCCATTTAAGAAAGCAAGAGGAGCTTGTCAGAATTGTTTTTTCTTATGTACCAAATATGAAACATATAATATTCAGTCAGTGAACTCATGGTGCAGAATTTCATTACGATAACATTATGATAACTGCCTCTGCTAGCCACTTGCAGCATTCTCACTAGACAGGTGTGTTATCCTCATGTCTCCTTTCACAGCATCCTACACTGTTAGGAATATTTTGGCATTGTCCATGGGGTAGGAAAAGGACAGATTTCGGTATAAAAAGAAAGGCACTGCTTCCTGATAGCACCAACTTACACCTGCATGGCAGACAGCCAATGGTCCTTTGGCCATCTAAGCAGAGATGTAGACAGAGGCATAAATTGTGTTTGGGGACCTCTTTTTTCACTTGGAAGCAGCAGCACAGTAAAAAGCCACTACTCTGTGCTTTTAAAAAAAAAAAAAAACTTAGATTATTTTTAACACCTAAATTAGTTTTGAATCTGTTATACAAATGAAATGATGCAGACATTACAGTGACAAATGCCACAAAAACCTTTCCCATGAGAAATGTCATAAAAAAAATCTGGTTCTATAGCAAAGCTAGTGTATACCATAGCACATTTGGTTAGAATCCAGTTTTGCGAATGAGCAAAATGCTGCTTTTCAACATTTTCTGCCTCACAAATACTGGAATAGAAATAAAGCAATCCATGGTTGTTCCCCTTCAGTGGTGTTGGTGCAGTGTCTGGTTTCAATAGATGCTCACTTGATCAGACACACGCTATATCCTCTACCCTGTGGCACTCTCAAGCACAAAGCAGGCAATGCTGGCATTAGGAGTTCACCAAAATATGAAAATGTTCGATCAGTCAAATATAAGGGATTTTTCAGGAGCAGAAAGGCTTGGAATTCTATGCTTAGCAAGTAAATATTCTTGCCTGATACATATTGCCTAGCCCAGAGGGCACCCCACTGTGCTTGGCGCTATGGAAGGAGGTGTCCTTGCACCAAATTGCTTGACAAAGGTGTTTCAGACCATTCTGGACTGCGAAAAGTCAGCACAGCAGTGGCAGCATCCTCACTGAGGCCTGTGTTGAGGAGGTGAGCACAATCTGGAACAGCCCTTAGCTCTCAGGTGTGGGTATGTCATACACCTGCTGCCTGGAGGTGGGTAGGCACCGTGCTGGAGCAGGGCACCCATACTGCTGCCCCTCGAGCTTCAAAAGGGGTCCTTTTTTCTTCTCTAGATACCAGAAATATTGGCTTTATTTTATTTGCGTTTAAACCACTGTCAGTATGGACAGAATAAAGAGAAATTCACTGCTAAGCATTTTGCTAATAAAGTCTTGCAATTCTTTATGTACCACAAGCCATTCTAATTTTTAAAAAGTACTACCAGTACGTTTCATGTTTTGTGAAATCAAGGTGTTGAGTTTTTCTGTAAGTAATAAAAAGCCCTGTTGATTTTGACATTTCTCTCTAAACACCTGTATGGACTTTGTCCAATGCATATTATGGAAGTCTTGTTGCTAATCTGGAAAGGAAAACTTTTTCTTTGTTTCCTTTTTCAGCCACAAATGTACAGGTTTAAGAAACAAAAAACTCTTTCATTTTAATATTGTGTTGATGTTATAACATGGCAAGATCATTTGTTATTTTACTGATGATTTTCTACAATTAAAGTACCTTCATGAAAAAAAAAAATAGAAGTGCATATAGAGAGTCTGATACAGCAAAAAAGCATCCTTGCTGTTGAAGACCAAGAGCAAAGAAATGCGTGCATAGGAAATGCACTGGAACACGCTTCCCTGTGATTTCCACTATTTAGAGAAATAGGATAAAACTTGTTTCAAGAGGCCTTGACTCCCAGATACACTCCGAGTTCTTTGAAGTCATACAAAATGCCAAGGTAGGAGGTCTTTCTCGGATCAAATAAAACTCCGTTGGACTGTGAACTGTGAGCGAGCCCTGAAGTTCTCAGATGCACTTCTAACCTGCTTCTAACTTTTACCATGAGTGTATAGTAGGGTTCAGAAACAATCTGTTGTAAATTCTTCAGCCAATTAGCTGAGCGAGTTACCGCCATTTATAATGCGCAGAACGGGGAGGCTCCTTGGCCGTTGCGCCGAGTTGGATTGTTAATAACAGGAAGCTAGCACTTCTCAGTACAGTGGATCAGCTACATGTGAAAATAAATGTAAAAAACCTGGAGGGGAATGGCAGCAGACTGAGATTAGCCTTTATTTAATTTAGCATTTGGGGGTCCAACACACAAATGAGTGTTTTAGTAGGCTTCATGGTGGAAGTTGCTGTCATTTGTAAAATATTCTGGCCAATTAGCTAATAGTGTGCTTGGATTTCTCCTGTTTTGATACAGTAATACTAAGTACATTGTGAAGCCCAATTATACAAATCATCCCCATATGCCATACCAGTCTTTCTTTATGAACTGTGTTTATAAATCCTGTGTGAGGAAATGTGTACTTCAGCAATTTAGACCATGTGTAAAAACATAGCCAATAGGATTGTCAAGAAAACAAGTTCCAGCATAGGAAATCCTAATGTGTTCCGCTAAAATAACACGAGTGTGTTGTGTTGTGTGAGTTTACTGATTAAATGCATATTACTTTATAGTGCTTAACCTGCAGAGATCCTTCCGTTTCCCTTTTTATTCTTTCTTTCTTTCTTTCTTTCTCTCTTTTTTTGTAGGATCCAAATTTGGAGTTTTTGAGGAAATTTGGAATTGGGCTAGTCTCAGGAACAATAGCCTCAATTATTAACATTCCTTTTGATGTTGCAAAAAGTAGGATTCAAGGACCACAGCCAGTTCCTGGAGAGATCAAGTACAGAACCTGTTTTAAAACTATGGCAACAGTCTATAAAGAGGAAGGGTAAAACATTCTTATTTTAATAAATGTCCAGACCTCTGTTTTAGTTCATATGGGTCCATAAAACCGTGTTGTTATATTTCTGATTTGACGAGGACCATTAAGCCACCCTGAACTCACGCAGCAAAAGAGCACTATGTAACATTTTGAAAATGTATTTTAGAATTACAAGGAGATACCCTCCTACTCCGTGTGAACTTTTACAAAAGACTTACAAGATGATTATTGGGTTGTCAAAATTTATGTTCCACAAATAAATGCTTCATATATGTTGTGTAATTTTTCAACTCTTCATTCTGTAAAATGAAAATATCAACAGAAAACAGAGTATTTCCCAATTTTATCTAATTGTAATTATACAGACCTCTATACCTTTAAAATGACTGCTGAAATAATTAAATCGGGGACAGATCCTTGTGGCAATAGCTTTTTCCAACTTTGTAAAATATTTCTCAAGTCGGGACCGAGCTGTAGCTTTGCTATTCAATTATAGCAGTCATTTTGTCCATGTATGTGGCTGTTGTTAACAGACTTGTCTTGAAAGTAAAACCATCTCACTGATTAAAGTCATATTTCTGATTGGCTAGGCTCACAACGTAGCTTTTGTGACTGAACATTGATTAACTTTTTCTCTTCATCTGATCTGCCTCTGTAAAATGTTAAAATCCAGATACTGACTGCTATCGAACATGTCTAATTTTAAATAATTGCTTCTAAGTGCTCTGCCATCATTTTAACAAACACAACCTAAAATTCCATTCTTCTTTTAGAGCAAGAATATTGTTTGAAATGTTTTGTTTGTTTTTCTTCTGCTACAGATTTCTGGCTCTCTACAAAGGCTTGGTTCCCAAGATCATGAGGCTTGGTCCAGGTAATTTTCACTCCGTCATTTCTATATTGCTTTTCTTGCTTTCTCTTCCCGTTTTTCGGTTTCTTGAAAAAAATGTAGGCAGCATCAGTCAAATAAATGAAACAGTGTACCAGAAATAATCAAAATCTCTTCCATCTTTGAAAGATTTCTTCTGATAATAGCATCATCTAATAGTATCATAGATGGATTTGGCTAAATATGTGTCTAAAAAGAATTTACACATACACATCAGATGATTGCAGATCCAAGTAACTGCTGGTTTGTGCAATTATTTTATTTGCAAACAAGCCAAATGCATCCACGCAAATGTCAGAACTGTAATACATTTGAAAGTGTTTCTTGAATCTTGTCCTATTCCTTCTAATGTGATTTTTTTGGTTTCACTAGGACTATTCTGTACCCATGTAAAGTCATGTTAAAATGCTGGTTAAGAGACTCTGGTATAAATGCTGTCAACTAGTTGAAGCATAGCCCAAGCGTATCAAATTCCAGTTACTTTCTTTTTCCCGTGCTCTGTGGGGGCTGTAAAGAACAGACACTAAAAGACTGATAGCATGAGCTGGGAAGAGACTTGCTCAGCCCTAGAAGGCTAAGAGGACAAGGACAGCTTAAACCTGAGCTTATCAAGTGACCCCTTCTCACTGGTTGCTACTCCAACTGCGGGAGCACAGTGGTTGAGAGCTAGCTCTTCTTTGACTTTTAGGCTATTTTTCCCTGACTGGTTTTGATTAATCATGAAAGCAAAGCACTGGGCCCTTAGACTTTGCCAGCCCACAGAGGCAGCCTGTGTCAAAAAGAGCAGAAGCCCCAGTTTGAACAGTATCCCATTGCTGTGAAATTGTATTTCCAATTGTTCAAGGTGGTTTAATAGGCAAGAACACACATGGTTAAAAGCAAGTAGGTACAGAGTCTGTTCCACAGTATAAAGGAAGCATTAGGTTTGTCTGTAAATGTTTGCACATCCAATCCATCTGGCTGAGTGCTAGACCATGCCTGGTTATTGTGCAGGGTAAAGGAAGAAGGTGGGAAGGGGAAACAAGGCAGCTAGGCATAACTCTGGAGCTAAAAGCCTTTTCCCTCATACTCCAAAGATACTAGATTACACATGGGACAAAGAAAAGGCAGGGGTTCGCTTCCCCAGTACCTGTGAGCACAGCAGATTTTGGAATAAAATTTTCCATCTTACAAAGGACTATGCCTTCTGGCCCAGATCCAGCAAGTCAGTTAAGTGCGCACCTTGTTTTAAACACTTTTGTAGTCCCGTTGACTAATATATAGATTTGGCTTTCCCATGAAATAATAATGCAATCTTTATTGTGGCTGGAAAAGTAATTCCTTCGTTCAACATGTGAATGCTTTCAGGAAAAGAGATACACAAACCGATCACACAATACGAGAACTGGAATCGGCCTTGACTTGAGTTCGAATCACATCTTAGACACTGTGTCTGTGAGATGTTTGTTGGTTAAAGCCTTTTGCAACCTTTTGCTCTGCCTACCTCTCTGTTCATAGAGGATTTCAAGTCTGATGATGGTTCATTAGGATAAATGACATCAGAAAACTCACATGGTAGTTCTGTGTGCCTGGGTGTCTGAGCCTATCCCATTTATCTGGAAAGGTCAGCCCAGTTCAGCAGAAGACTTCTTTGTTAGAGGTGCCTCTCTTAGCCTGCTAGCTGAGCCAACAGGCAAAGGCAAAGGAAAGAAAATATTTGTGCTCCAGCGCTGACACCCACAAGTAGCATGTTGTAACACACTTTTACTCCTGCATCCTGGAATCTGATTCTCCTTCCCCATCTTCTCCAGCTAGAAGCTTCACTGCATGCTTAGTTATATACACATATATATATATGTATATATATATATATGCACCTTCTGAAATGTTCCCTTATTTAGCTCGTACATAAATTACAGCCTGGTTACAGAAGTCTGGCGTCACTAACAGTAAAGGTACTCTATGGCATTCAAGCTGGGATTTTATACTGTTATCAGTTAATGCCATGTCATCAGATAAAAACTTTGCCTGTGGATTCATAGCCAGGTACAGGCATGGGAAGATTATACTCATCTCAATACTGTAATCTGCTGCTTTATGCATGGTAAACAAACAGCTGAAAACCTTTCTTGGATCTTACCTGGAGGCATTTTCATCACCCTGGTGATGAATTTTTGTCATTCCACCATTCGAGTTGCTCTTTCATGGCCAAATCTAACTCTAAACAAACACACAAATATACACACATTCAGATTAAAAGCTTCATTTGTAAGAGAACAAAGAAAAATATTAATCTTGAAAAAATGTTAGGAAAAAATCACACTGAGGGTGATTTTGATTTGGTAGACAATCTTTTCACATCAACTTTATGGTCTAATATTAAGTGAAATTGGTACGGTTTAAGAATTGGTGAATTTTTAATGCATTAGGGAATTAGTAGAATTATCCATTTTGCAAAAAAGGCTTTGCCATTAAATTACACACTACAAATGCTCTACAAAATCTTGAAAATACTGAATTTTGTATGTAGTAAATTAATATCTTTTCTTCCAGGTGGTGCAGTGATGCTTTTGGTTTACGAATACGTTTATGCATGGCTTCAGGACACAGTTGATCACAAGTAGTGCTTCTGAAAATTGTACTCTTTAAAATTATATGCATTCTAAAATACACTTCAATAAAGAAAAAGTGATTCTCATCCTTTACGGTTTTGAATGCCCCCAGATTACACTGATGTTAACAGTTCAAAACAAATTTGGTCTTCAGGTCCTGATCCAGGAAAACATTTAAGCACACACTTTTCTGTAATTGCAGAAGCAAATAGCACAGTTGATATTTGTAATTGTTTTACTGGATCAAGAGAAACACAGGAACAAGTTAGTTTTTGAAGGACAAACTGAAAATTCCAGACACTGAATTACACTACGTAGTCAATAGACTTTTAAAAAAATTTTAGCTGACCTATCAAGATAGTAACTTTTAGGGTATTTTGAAGAAAAAAGTGGAATGATCCGCTACTGTAAACTGACGGCTCCACTGACTCCATGTTAAGAACGCGACCCATACCCTGCAAACTCTTGCATCAATCTTGGGTCCAGTTTCAGTTCAGTGCAGCACGACTCCAACAGTGATAGAAGAGCTTCTGAAGTTGCTGGGAGTTAGGATAGAAAAAGGACAGCACGACTAGCCACAACCTTAGAAGCACACATACTGTTAAATGTCCCACTTGTTTTTAGCCATATACATCCTCTAAATCTCACTCAGGTCACAGAAGATACTGAAAATAATTAGTCTGATGCAAATTACATAGAAGTCCAAAACAACTGTGGGAACCGTCGAAGAAATGAGTAAACAAATGAACAGGAAAAAAATACTTTTAGGCAGATGAGATTTTACTGTGAATTTTTTATCCACCTTCATGTACTATTGCTTAAAGAGCTGGCCTGTGATAAAATGCTCGTTGCATCTTGACTTTAGCCTTTCATTACCACCGTGGGGTGGAAAAACAATGTTCTAGACTGACAGCACGTATGCAGTCATAACCAGCTAGCCATAGACCTCAAAGAAATGCACCTTTCTATAGATAAAAAATGTGGCTCTAAAGGTAAAATTGTTGCTTTTCCCAGTCACCATAAATATAAACAACATTTCAGTGATGTACTCCTGTCTTTACTAGCCATTCTAATTAACTCTGTGAAATACGATAATTTCTGCTATGCTAATTGAAGACATAGTTTCAGCCGTGCCACTCTACAGTTTCCTTTCAAGAACTCTTCAAATAACTTAAAATTACACATTATTCTGCTATAAAAAAGTTCCTGTTATCTAAACTTGGTTTGTTGTCAGACGAATGCATTGCTGAATTGCAATTGCTGAAAGTTTCTGTATCACCCCACACTACATTCACACCTCTGACTTTAAACGTTCGTCCTCTTAAGGAGGTACAAACCTTTTTCCCAGCAATCCGAAATAAACACCTTTCCAGATTGTTACTTGAAAATGACAGTTCACATGTGAAGTCTCCTCTCACAAGTGTCTTTAATGCATTAGAAAAGCAACAAAAAGCTAAAAATAGACATGCATTCTCAGCGCTTTCAAGGATGCTTGTACTGGCTAAAAATCAATAAAATTAGCTCTGTTCTTACAGTTCATAATTTTAAGGCAAATGTTCCTCGTTGCTGCATTTCATTATCAATACTTAGCCAAAGAGAAGACACTACTAAGATAATTTTGAAAATTAAAAGCAAAATGCTTTATAATTAGTCTTTTATTAATTTAGAGCATTCAAAATATAAAAATAAAAGGCTTTAAACATACTGTATATACATATACAGCCTTCGGTTTTACATCCTTTCCAACATGAATTTTTTTTTTCAGTTAATAGCTCAGCCTGATCTTTGATAAAAAGAGAACTATTAGAAAGCAGAAAAGACAGCATTGTTTTAGAAAACAAACCCATGAGCATGCCAGCCTAATCCTCCATCACTCCTGGTGTAATATGGGGGCTGATTCAGTTTTACACTGGAGGACTTCCCTATCGGGACCATGCAAACACAGTGGGGCTGTCTTAAAAGGGAGTATAGGGCTTCACTGATTTCTTTGAAAACCTTTGACGCTCTGGGAATGGAGTGTGGGGTTTTCAGATTAAACATTTAAATTCTGCACTTGCATACACTGCATATTTCCCAAATTAATCCATTCACCTCAGTGGGTTCACTCCATATTTATACACCCATACCTGACAGCAGCAGTAGACCCTTGTTTATTATTAAAAAAAAAAAAAACAACAATTCCCTTTTTCCTTTGTTTATTGTAAAGTGGGTTAAAGATGTGTGGCTAATAAGCTAACATGTTGTGGTTTTCAGTTTACCCATGTGTATAAGCAGGAAAAAAAGTCCTTGGGTAAAGGCATATTCAAGATTGCAGGTTTACATTTTAAAAAGAAAAAAAGTTATGAAAATTCACACACAAAAAAAAAAGTCCATCACAGACAGTTCACCAAGGGCCAAGGCCAGATACCTTTGCTCGCTCTGAGCAACGCTTCTGCACGCAGCTCCACTGACTTCCCACTCTGGGTAAGGTGGTGCCCACAGCAGGCAGAGGCGCAGAGAGCTCTACCTAAACACGAAAGAAACCAAAAATGGTTCACGATGGTGTATTCCCATGCAAGGAATAATTGACCATGCCTTGTCCTTGCTTTATAAATTATCCTGATTTAGCTGAAGACAAGATAATGCAAACAACGCAGACAAACTAAGGCTCCGTCTCTCTAAGTAATTCCCAAAACACACCAATGCCTCAGGAGAAGCTCAGAAAAGACAACTTTTATTCCAGAAATGACCTCTTTTTGCTCGGGAAAATGGTGACAACTTTTAACATAGGCACACTTTGTTCAGGCTTGTAAATTCTCAGAGCTCAAAAAGCTGTGCTATGGAAGGGTTCTCTTTTTTTTTTTTTTTTTCCTGATTTTTTTCCTTTGATGTATCTTGTTTGTGCTGTATGGATAACAATAGGTAGACTTAATAATTCTATAAGCCAGGAAAACAGCTAAGCTAAAATCCTGTTGCCAACTTAATCATATATCACGACCTTTTTCTTATCTTTTTTTTTTCTCCATTTTATTTTTAGTGAAGAGCTTGTCTAGAATTAAACCAATTCCTTTTTCGTGGTGTTTAAGGCTCATCTTATTTCAGCTACAACTGCATAAAGGCAGAGCAACATCCATCACGTCACTAACAGCATGGCAGTGTGGAAATGCACTTGTGAGAGCACTGTCTTTAGTAGTTTCAGAGAAACAGTCTCTAAAAAGAAGTGTTCTACTGAGTAACAAGGGCGTCAGCATCTCAATAAAGCTGAAAGACATCAAATGCCTTTGCTGTACTGAGGCTGAAGGGTATGGGTTCACTCCCGAGATCAGGTGTCTCTTTCCTTAGGCCCATAATACAATACCTATGTTCTTTATAGATACAAAGTTCAGTTAACTATTTTTTTAATGCAAAAAGCAAAAGTGGCAGGAGCCAGTCGAGTTCATCAATATTTCCGAGGATATACTGTATGCAGCATTTGTATTGGTTACTTAGATTATTATGAAAATTTACCCACAGCTGTCTCAGTGATGAAAGCTGGAAATACACAGACAGAGGACTATATTTTAGGAGAGAACTGTATTTTACCTTCCCACTGAATGAATGTTTAATATGGTATGCAGATACAGCAACATTGGAAGAATGAAGCTTTCTCCTCTGCTTTAACTAGCTCTAGTGTAATTTAAGTTATTGCACAACATTTATAAAAATACACAATATATTAATATTCTATGAAGGATATGAAATGTCACACCAGGCTTAACTTTTTTTTTTTTCCGTGTTCATAATCTGAACATACCTACAGCATGTGGAAAGCATTCTGGAATAACAGTCAGAATTTTATTATTGCCCAAGAAAAAATAGGTAAATTTTCAAAGATCAGAACGATAGCTCTCTGGGGATTAAAGTTTAAAGCAAAATAATAATAAGTACTGGCACAGAGTACTTGCCACTGGATACAGAAATGTAGAAAGGGAATTTGATAATATTAAATAATATCTGTGTTTGTAGCACCACCACCAGTATACCTATAAGGGAAAAAAATGCTTCAGAACAACAATGTAAACTTTACCAAGAGCCGTATTTTACATTCATTAAAGCAGAAATTAAAGGCAACTTCCTCTTAAAAAAAAATTACAACATATTCTTGGGGCTGAAAATGCTGGACGCAAGTGAGCTGAGAGGGACGGTATAATTCTGTTCTGCAGCGGGGCTGCTGACCCACGTGGTTTTGTGAGCATCTCTGCACAGGTTGCACACAAATGGCATTTTCCTCTGCAGCTTGCAGTTTTGTTCAGATATTTTCCACCCATTTCTGATTGTATACTTAACATGGATGTGGTGTTTCATGACTCTGCGAGGCTGGCTATAGCTGGGGAGAGTTACTTGGCTGGATTTCTGCCTTTGAATCTGCTGCTAAAGAAATAACTGTATTTATTTCATGAGGCATTGAAGCCTCCACTGTAGGCTCAAAAACAGGGTGAGAAAAAACTTCCCTAAATCTCGTCATCTGAGGCTATCACCCCACCACGCAAAGACACAGAAAATAGATAGAAAGTCACCTTTTCAACTTTGAAAAAAAAAAAAAAGTAGAAATAAATGTACTGGAAGGTGAAAACAAATGCTGTCAAAAGCCTATATTTACAAATGGATAAAACCACAAAGGTATTACTACGGCCTGATGATGGCGACATGCCAGAAGAATCTGAGAGCCACATATTGCCCTGGTTCTGTATTTGATTACCAAAACCCAACAAAACAACCAAAAAGTGCTCTCTCAATAGCAGTGGATTGTACAACTTCGTTGATGAAAGGATTGCTCTCTCGGCAGTTGGCAAATGCCTCCCGTTTAGCCGCCTTTGCTGATTCGAGGCATAGCAGAATTTTCTGTGGTGATTTTTCTTTATTGATTTTTTTACACAAATCTTAATAACAATTGCACATTTAGAAAGTCTGTGATGATTAAGAATAAATATGTGTGGTTTGACCAGGAGAGAGTGGGAAAAGGCTCCACGAGCCCTTGGAGGGACACAAGGTCT